ATGGATAACTCAATTAAGATATCTACCTGGAGCACAGTAGTTTTTTTGTTTTTTGTTTGTTTGTTTTTAGTGGAATGCTTGGGAATCTTAAGACAGGGAGGACAAACAAATATCAATCCAGATACGGAGGGCTCTCTGTGCAATGCTGGTTAAAAAAGATAGCACAAAGACTGAAAAGGTTCCGAAACAGGAAGCGAAAGAGCTTAGCAATATGAAGGGATCTGTACACCGTGAAAGATCACAAAGATGATTAAGGCTACTTAAACCAGGAAGAAGAGTTAGATGGGACTAGATTGAGGTATTCAAGATAGTAAGGATAGAGGGAAAATGAGCAGTTCCTGTTTACTCTGTGTTATTTGAGAATAAAGGGTGTGGCAACGAACAAGTGTAAAGCCAACTGAACAAAAGACCTCAGGTAAAATTTTCATAAGTGATTTAGGAGTTTAAATTACTTTTGAGAATTGGATTTAGGAATCTGTGGAATTCATTGCAGCAGTAGGTCACCAAAGAGAGAAATACTGCCTGAGTTTTCAAAGGTGCTGAGTGCTGCAGCGGTCATTCATTACAGTAGGTACAGAGGTTACCCATTATGCAGGGGTGGGGGAGAAATCAGACCAGGACTGTGTAAATCATCCATTTCTTCCCCACTCAAATTAGGACAACTAGATAGTTGACATAGCTATAAATATTTATGGTTAAAATTAACATAATGATACATGTCATTCAAAAGCCCTGCTACAAGGCACACAGGGGTCAAGAAAAGTCCCCATCTGTGTGTACAATACTGAAAAATTACTTGGGTTCTTCAGAGGGGGTTTTCAGCCTCTCTCTTCAGGCATTGGCCACTAGTGGAGGCAGGATGCCAGCTTAGATGGATCTGTGGGCTGGGCCACTATGGACATTCTCTTGCTCCAATGTAAAATTTACACCTATAGGCTTCTCATTCATTCCCTATGAAGGCACTTGGCAAGTATTTCTAGGACTAATATAAAAGGGGTCCATGAGAATGGTCTTCCATTCATTCACTGCCTTTCATTCAAATAGATCTCAAAGCACTTTACAAACATCACACACGATATACAAAAATAATTCTGTCATTGAATGGCAGCTGACTGTGGGGTGGAAATAAAGCAGCTGTTTATCAGGAACATTTCACAGGCAGTGTAAAGTCTGTTTATCTAGCCCCAAGTTCACTCTATATTCCTCCTAGGGGCTGGTCACATCCCCTGACAAATGGGTAGGCCATAAAGTGCTGTTCCGCCTGAGTGCAAAATGCCCTCTTCATGATAACTAGGGTTGTACTATGGGGGGAGCCACAGGGGGGCACAGGGCTCTTTTACCAGAAATGGTGCCATACAGGAGAGCTTCACAGCAAAGAAGGCAGTTTGTTATATGCTGCAGCAATTCTCACGTTTTCAGATGTCACCATAAGCACCATACAGCAGCTATTCAAAGCCCCCTTTGCAAAACAAAAACAAATGCCCCAGCATGACCCTAGTGCCACGGCCCAGGATTTTTTTTTTTTGGTGCCTTCCTGTTTGTCTGGCGACAAAAGCATCAGCATAAAACCTGCATAATACAAGGAAGGCTCTTTGGCACCAGTTAAACAGCCATTGTTAATTAACCCTTTCGAGGCTAGGAATGCTTCAGCGACTGCGTTTATCATGCCGTTCCAGAGGGGCAGCAGGGGCCATGCATTGCACAAGGACTGAAACAGGACAAGGGGCGCGAGCCCCACAGGGGGACATGACCCGCGCTGCATCCTAGCAAGCGAACCGCAGAAAGCTCTGGAGAGGAGGGTGAAAGACGTTCCCGGGGGGGAGGGACAGTCGACAGGGAGATGGATTCCCCAGCCTGCCCAAGACGTCCAGGCACCAGCCGGAGAGCTCGGATTGCTGGCCCCAGGAATAGAGACGGTGGTGCCTGCTCCAGCCCTGGGCCCTCGCCCCACCACCTCCCGGGAACCAGCCCCTTACCTGCTCCTCCTGCAGCCCCTCCTCCCGCTCCAGCCGCTTCCCCCCGCCTCCGTCCGCAGCTGCACGAGCAGCCCCAGCCACCACAGCAACTAGGGCCGCTACAGCTCAGGCTCCAGCAGGAAGGGCGTGCGAATGTAAACCTCTCGCCTACTGGCTGCGCGATCCCAGCTAGGATCTAAGCCCGGCAGCTATTCGCTAGGGAGTGGAGTCAGCTGGCTCCATCGCGTTCCACGGCTCACTTCCCCCCCGGGATGCAGGTGGGCGATGGCCCCCACGTGGGTGGGAGATTTGGAGGCTGGCAGCTGAACACCTGGTCCCTCCATTCCCGTCCCTGCACAGGCTGCTGCCAGCCGCAGGCCACTACACCCTCACTGGAGCCATAAAGGTCAGGAGGCCCAGTCCGGTGCCCCCCGAACTGAAGTGTTCACAGCCATCACAATGGGTGGCATGACACAGCCCCCTGATGCTGGGCGCCGTGGGAAGGGATGGCTGTGACCCAGGCTGGTGCAGCACCTGGCATGCTGTCAGCGCTTTATTAATATTTAATAACAGCAGCAACTGGATTGTAATTTGCTTGGGGCAGAAACCTCATCTTCATGCCCATCATTCCCGATGCGTGCTGTGCCAGTAAATCCCATTGTGATACAGCGTTGGTGAAGTGTCACGAGACCCTCCCCTGCCCAAGGGGATTTGGGGATCTCTGTGGGGTGAGGTCTGGGATTGCCCAGCATGCTGTGATATCCATACTAATGTCTATTCTGTTCAGGGCCTCATCAGCGTAGTGTCAGAGCACCTTCCAGTAGTTTATTGAGTGATGTGACTAAAGCACATTGGAAATGTGGGCATCAGTCCCGCTACCTCTCACGTGTTAAGCAAGTGCTCTACCATTGAGCTAGCTCCCCAACACATCCCTTAGCAGTATCAGCTTGAGGTGGCTATCCAACATTAGATGTTGGTCATCTGCATAGGTTGTCTGACTCAGTCAAATCTGTATCAGGCAGAGGAAGATCTTTGCAACAACAACAAACAATTGCCTCTGAAATGCGCTAGATTGAACAGAGGAATTTTAATTTGAATTAAAGCCTTGAGACCCCCCTGCCTCACAGCTGAAGCCCAGAACCCTGAATGGGGTGGGTGGGGATTCCAAGAAATACTCAATGAGAATTTAAGGCAGTATGATGAGACTGCCTCCAATGACATGTAGCTGATCTGCAATAGCTCCAACGGCTGGTGATGGGATACTAGATGGGGAGGGCTCTGTATTACTACAGATTCTTTCCCAGGTGTCTGGCTGGTGGGTCTTGCCCACATGCTCAGGGTCTAACTGATGGCCATATTTGGGATCGGGAAGGAATTCCCCCCCACGTCAGATTGGCAGAGACCCTGGTGGTTTTTTGCCTTCCTCTGGAGCATGGGGCATGGATCACTTGCAGATTTAAACTATTGTAAATGGTGAATTCTCTGTAAGCTGACATCTTTAAATCATTTGAGGACTTCAGTAACTCAGTCAGAGTTTATGGGTCTATAACTGGAGTGGGTGGGTGAAGTTTTGTGGCCTGCAATGTGCAGGAATTCAGACTAGATGATCATGATGGTCCTGTCTGACCTTAAAGTCTCTGAGGAGCCAGAGCATGGATTAGGACCCCATTGTGCTAGCCGCTATACAAACACAGAACAAAAAGACCCTGTCCCCAAGGAACTTACAATCTAAGTATAAGAAAAGAGACAACAGATAGATACAGGCAGATAAGGAAATACAAGGAAACAATTAAACAATGTTGGTGATAGGCAGTGGTCACAGCACTCCAGGAGCCTAACTGTTGTCAATTTTTTTGTAGGGATCATGGAAAAGAAGAATTATGAGGAGGGGTTTGAAAGTGGAGAATGAGGTAGCTTTGCATGAGGGGCAGCAAATACTGAACTAATACTGCACTTGATCTTACGTCCTAATTGTAAAGTGGTACGCCTGCTTTGAGAAAGTAACGAGCTTCCTCTCTTGCAATGAGAAGCAGTGTCAGGTCAAAAATGAAAACTCAGGGAGCCTAATTGTGATTTATTATGTGCCATCAGTGTGCTTGGCCCTGTACAAAACACAGGGGAAGAAAATCCCTGCTTCAAGGAGCTTGCAGTTTATATTGAAAAGACGATGCAGTTGATATGGGATGATTGGGGGCTCAATCCTGCAAAGTGCAGGAGGTGAAGATGCTCAGCACCTCCAAGATCAATCCTTAGATGACAATTGGATCACAGACCATTGCAGGGAACTGTTCTTTTAAATAGTCACGTCTTTCTTTGGGGGATTAACGTTGAAAGGTTTTGTAAGTGACTTGTTCCGAAGAGAGGGTAAGTAAAGAGATTAGCAGTGAAGACATCATGTTAGTCTCTTTTCTTTCTCCAGTTTTTATTCTTTCTAGCAAGACGAGAACAAGCAGGTACTAACAGGACAGACAAATAAACAATGGATTTCCTCCTCATGCTTTGATGTCCTTGACAGTAGGTAATGTTTCTGCACGTTTATATGGCCAGAAGCCATGCTACCTTGGGTTGTCCATTCACAGGGGAAGCAGAGACGATCCTGGACAGTAATTTGGGTAATGGGTAACCTGACTGGAAAATTCAAGGGGCTGAAGGAAGGGGTGCTGATGATTCAGTACTGTACTGTGTTTACTGCATTTCTCAGTCACTACAGAAGCAATGAGAGAGCATAATGTTAGGGGCTCTGTGTTGCTGGCAGTGCACAGTGGCAGGACCGTCCCTAGGGGGACGTGGAGCTCGGGGCGGAAGTGACGAATATGTCACTTCTGGGACTGACCCATCATTTCCAAGACTGACTGCACCCAGCACCGGCCAATCACACGGCCATAGTGCGGGGCCCGGAGTGGTCGCCCCTATTTACCATACCCAAGGGACAGCTCTGCACGGTGGTGCCATCCTTTGGACAAGATGTAAAACCACTATTCTGACCACTTGGTGGTTCTTAAAATCCCATAACACTTTTCATTAGAGTTGGGGAAAGTTGTACTGAACAAATTCCATTTTGGGTAATTCCATTCTTCTTTCATGCATTCCCATGAAGTTTAAATTGGATACAGGATGCTTCATTTCCTGTCCTAAACTATAGCGTACTGTTGCTTTGTGCTGTCAGACAGCTGCTGCGTTTCACTTAGTGAGACAGACAGTAGAGCCCAGTCACATAATGCACCACATGCCCTGACAATGGCCATGTCTCTGAGCAATGCAAAGGAGAGAAAACAAATAAGTATGGTCTTTCTTCAGTGGTGGATAGGCCTTGAATTGGCCCTCTGCACAGTGGTGAATTTCTGCCTTGATACAGAAGTTCCAAACATGGGGTAACAAGAAGGAAGCCACAAAGATGTCAGTAGACTCAGGATACAAACGATTGTTTAGGCAGGAGGTTAGATAGGACTGCCGGCAGTGGAGTGGAACTAAAGGAAATTAGATCAGATCTGTAGGCAAGATGGAGCGGTACAGAGTCTTGAGAGGAAGGATGAGAACTTGGAACTTGCTGTCGTATTTAAGAGGAGACCAGTGGAGGAACCCACCCAAGGAAGGGACAGGGTCAGAACAGTCAAGCATATTTTTCTCTCACCTACACCTGTCTTCAATGGAGGTACTTCTGTGGGCCAGGGAGGCCAGAACTTAAAACCGCAGTACCAAAGAAAGAGGATTGTGAAACCCTTAACTTAAGGGGGCTGAGTTTGCAAGGCAGGGAGGCTGGAACTTAAAGCCACAGTCCCAAGAAGGATTGGGAAGCCCTAAACCTGAGGGGTGAGCAAAAAGGGGACTGAATGGCACTGAATAAATTATACCCCCAAGAGAGGGGGAATATTGTTTCAAAGACCTTGGCTGTGACTAGATTATTCTGGGGAAATGCAGGGGGGAAACTGAGGCAATGTGCCTTCAAGGCCACTCCAGGCCATGAGGGGATGATGTAGGATGCCACTAGTCTATATTGCGGAGGTTTAAATCTGGAAGGGTGGTATATGGCTACAATATTACCAACTAGTGGCCCAAATGAAGAGAGCACCTGGTTTCAGTCCAGTTCTGGGGGGATAACTGTCACTGAACACCAGCACAGTTATCACTAACTGTCACACTTGCTGGCAGTCAGGACAAAGAGACCAAGGATGGAATAGGTCTGGAAAAGCTTTTGGCCCAGAGTGGTGGACGGACGTTTGGAGGCTACTAACTCATGCTCTACCAGTCCTATGGAAAATAGAGAACTGTGCAGTCCCAGGGTGAAATCCTGGCCCTGCTGAAGTCAATGGCAAAACTCCCATTGACTTCAGTGGGCCAGGATGTCACCCAAGTCTGTTTTCTGGCACCTCTCGTGAGTGATAAATACACACCCACACACAGCACCCAACATAGTTTTGTTGTTTGTCCTTTCCTTTCTTTGTTTTATGCTGTCCTCGCTACTGAACATATCTTTCACATCTACTTATGACCCGCTAGAGTCCAGATTTGTTTCATTTTAGTGTCAGTGGGATATCTCTTGTATAAAGCTGTTTTCTTGCAAAAGGTCCAATCCTGCTTTGTCCGTGGCAGGACTGGTCCCTAATGCACCATTTATATCTCTCTCTACCTGTCATAGTTCATGCCAGTTGTATGTGCATTTAATATATAATTCAAACTATTAATTTTAAAGAGAGTGTTTAGAAGTACTTTATAAATTGCTTTAGGAATATTTCTATGGAGGGCAAGGCAATTTAATAGTTTGAACTTCTAAAGGTGTCTAGTTTTCTTTCCAGATTGTAGAAGATCCAAAGGACAAGTGCAGGCTGGAATGCTGGCATAAGAGCCTAGAATTCAATTAAAAATACTATGCCTTTCAGGAACCAGATAGTCAGATACAGAATTATAGCTAGCTTCTGTGACTGACAACCTTGCAAACCTTCTTCTCATATTGTATGGACTGTACTTACTGTGAATTGTTATTACCCTCTGTGAAATGTAGCTGCTGAAAAAGGGATCTGAGCTGCAACATTTATAAATCGTATCCAGGATTGAAAATTGATTTACAGACAGCATCTGGGACTGAAAGCCATTCTCATAGAAACTGTTTTCTGTTCAACTATTATTA